CTCCAAATACTCATATTTACTTATTATCAACTATTAAACACGTAACCTAACCTAACCTAAGTTGACCTACCCTAACCTAACTTAGCATCACCTGACGTACCTAACCAAACATAGCCGAACTTGACCTACTATAACCTAACCTAACCTAACCTAACCTATACGCAACATATACGACATGAAAAGGAATATTTTCACGGGTATTTTACAGATTACCTGATTTGACACATTGACTGTAACATATGGTTCACACATTAAGTGGTGAGAGTTTATATCACCTGAATAAAATCATCTTGGGTAATCCAGAATAAATTACCTAAGTGCCACACTACTCCGTAAAGGGTTAATCGAGACAGGTTTCAATCCGAACAAGTTTAAACCAATTTATAGATAACGATTCCTCTTAGTTGATTAAAGCTTTCTGACTTTAGCCACAATAAATTATATGAGTGTAACACTTGTCTTTAATGGGGTAACCAATATGTATGTTACGCACACTGTATGGGGGTACCAGTCAAGGGTATGGTGCTATTGATGGTTGTGATGCAGGTGTGACCTATTTCTCTCTATATGGGATCATGCTGTCATAATATAAGTGGCCTGCAATTTATATATGTGAAGTTTCATGATGTTTACCAACGCAGGTAAACAAACCATTATATAAATAAGATAATACTTTTTTAAAGATTAATATCCAAAACACGGTATAATTACCCTCCAATTACCTGACAAAAATACCTTTAATTTAGATACAGGTATTTTACAGTGATAGGGCAAGTCTAGTAGTACATCAGGACACGTGGCTGGTTTAGACACAGGTGCTTAATGCTAGCGATCGACGTCAAAACTTCCAACACGACAGGTGTGCTGGTGCAGGTGGTGTAGGTGAAGGGGGTGACCATCACTTGAACCTCTGGAGCGGTCACGGTGACACTCCCTCTCCTCACCACCATGAACCACCGACTCATCCTTCTGCTGTTGGCCCTCTCAGCCTCCCTAGCCACCGTCAGTACTAGTGTGTGTGTGTGTGTGTGTGTGTGTGTATGTCCGTGTATGTTTGAGTATTTGCCCATGTATGTCCGTGTATGTTTGAGTATTTTCCCATGTATGTCAGTGTGTTTGAGTATTTACCCAAGTATATTTGTGTATTTGAGTATTTCCCCACTATGTTTGAGCATTTGCCTGCGTATATCTGTATGTTTGAGTATTTGTCAGTGTACGTCCGTATATCTGAGTATTTGCCCATGCATCTAAAAATGCTTGACTATTTGTCCATGAATGTGAAGTATTTGCATTCGTGTATGTGTTGTGTTAGAATATTACGTTGTATATATTTGATATATTTAGACAATATGTGAAATAATAATAATAATAATAATAATAATAATAATTAACGGTTTATTGAAAGAGCTTGGCAGCCAGAAGGCTGAAAATATACAGTTACATATTTGGGGAATGGGTTACGAATTACAAATAATATACAAGTAACATAAGTGATACAAATAAGACATATAATAACTAGATGGGGAAAAGCTCAAACTACAGTTCATTTCAACATAGTGACAGTGTAAGGAGCGGTGTTTACTGGGAGTGAATACACTGATTTATTACAAGTTATTGATAATCTTTACAATGGTTGGGACTGGGCTGTTCTTATAGCGATCAGTTCGTGCACGTATGGGCTGGATGCGGTTGTAGTGTCGAACAGCAATTCTCGGACAAGGGATGTCAGGTGGTAGTAGGAGCCGGTGTCGGGGATGGTGTAGAAGCTTCTTACCAAATTTGCAGATGAGGTCGTGGTGATGGTCAGTGAGAGTCGAAAGGGTCAGTGTGTTGAGCGCTTCTTGATATGTGAGTAGGAAGGGAGAGAATAATCTGTATGCCCTTTACCTCTTTTTTTTCTAGGTGTTTACGTTGTGGTGCATTTAGGAGTGAAGACCAGGTGGGGAGGCATAGGTGAGCTTTGGGAAGTATGAATGTTGGAGGCAAACACTGAGGAGCCAAAGAGGAACTCCGAGGGACTTGAGTCGGCGGAGGAGGTGGAGACGGAAACTGGAGGATTTGACAACTTCACTGACGTGTGGTTTCCAATTTAGTTTGTTGTCTATGGTGACGCCGAGGAGCTTCGTGGAATCTACAACCTGGAGTGTGTTCGGACCTAGAGTAATGGAAGGAGGTGGGACAATGTCGGAGGAGAGGAATATACCTGCATGTGTGCTTGTCGCGAGGCCATATAATATACTGGACATAAGTTAATTAATATTCAGGACAGGTGGTCAGCCACTACCATCCTATACTGAGGGAGTGACGTACACACTACCTGATGATGTTGATACACTTAATTGTACAGTGAGCAACAAAACTATTTTCCCAGTTTTGGATGAATGCATTGCGGAATACTCAAGCTTTCCGATACAATCTCTGGTAAACTCTGGAACAGTGGCAGGCCTGGAGAGAACTGATCCTAAGTTTCCAGAGTATCCCTGTTGTCTATTTATCATGACTGAAATAGATCCTTTACCACATTAACCATACAAGCGTAGGGTGCCTGATGGTCGGGCACACCATTGGGCATGACGACTGAGAAAGCGGCCCTAGGTTAGAGGTGAGGTTAGGTTGAGACCGTTAGGTCCTTTGAAGGTGACAGTGTGAAGGTGCCAGTATGAAAAAAGTATGAGGGTGGAAGTATGGAGGTGCTAGTATAAAAACATAAAGATGTCAGTATGAAAGTGTCAGTGTGAAAATGCCAGTATGAAGGTGCCATTATGAATGTCTTAGTATGAAGGTGTCAGTGTGAGAATATCAGTAGGAAGGTATCAGTATGTAGGTATCAGTGTACGGGTGCTAGTGTGAAGGTGCTAGTGTGAAGGTGCTTGTGTGAGGGCGTTACTGACTAATGATAATTCACTTACACAGGGGTTCGTGTTCGGGCGGCTGTCAGATGAGCAACTTGTGGATGACAACAATGATGATGGCGTGGCACTGAAACCCTTTAAATCTCTGGCTCAAGTTGATAACGTCGCTTACTATGATGACAATGATGGTGATGATAATGATGAAGATGAGAATAATGATGGTGATAGTGACGTGAAAGATAGTGACGAGAGAGTTAGTGACGAGGATGATAGTGACGAGGATGATAGTGACGAGGATGATAGTGACGAGGATTATAGTGACGAGGATGATAGTGACGAGGATGATAGTGACGAGGTTGATAGGGACGAGAGAGATGTTGACGAGGATGATAGCGACGAGGATGCTTACAAAATTCAGTTGTTCAACGACGATGGAAAAATTGACGACGATTTAGAGGACGATGATCACGAGGATGAAGATGATGATCACGATGAGGACGATGATGATGATGAAGATGATGATGATAATGATGGCGAGGATGATGATGATGATGATGATGATGAGAACGATGATGATGATGACGATGATGATGATGACGATGAGGACGATGATGATGATGATGATGATGAAGACGATGAAGACGACTATGATGATGATGATGATGATGATGACGAAGAGGACGATGATGATGATGAAGACGACGATGATGATGATGATGACGATGAGGACTATGATGATGATGATGAAGACGATGAAGACGATGATGGTGATGATGACGAAGAGGAAGATGAAAATGAGTAGGTGAAAGAGAACATTAAAAATTGGTTTGATAATAATAATGATGATAATGATGACAATGGTAACGATGATAATGACATTGCTGATAAAGGCAACACTAATGTATCTATAAAGGACCTCATGTTAAGACAAACTGTATAATCTAAACATTTCTTTTTCATGATTTAGATAAAATTAATTGTCAAGATAGAATTCAGGAGACTAACCTAACCTAACCTAACCTAACAATATGAGCTCGATGGTTTAACCCTTGAGGACGATATATCAAGAAGTCATAACTTAAACCATCATCCTCAAGAATTATGACTCAAAATATCTCCTCCAAATGTTTAACTACAATTATTATTGAACATAGAATAAAAAAAATGACTTCATAGAGAGTTTTATTAAACCACATAAACCAGAGAAAGAGAATTACCTTAATTATGTAGATGTTAAAATAGTGAAGAATTACAGTAATGAATGAAATGATGGTAAGGGAAGAGTCAAAAACAAATATAAGAAAACAAAGAAAGTGAAAAAGGAAAGAAATTAAAAGTAAATGAAAAGAAAATATATTTGAAATGACAACTACAGTCTTGGTAATTCGGACATGAGTAGTTTGAACCTCGGTAATTCGGAATTGGGTAATATGGGCTTCGTTAATTCGGACCTTCCCCAAAAATACAAACTTTTGGCTTTTTAAATTTACCTATTCCGAGACAGACAGATAGACAGAAAGACAGAAAGACAGAAAGACAGTAGCTCACTTGGGTGGGACAAAACACTAAGAGAGATATCAGTTGTTCGAGATAACATAATTATCAGGTTTGTGGCTTGTACTGTGCATCCATCATGTTCAAACACCCATCCCATCCACATGTCATTTAACCCACACTATCCACCTGTCCCTTCATCCACACTATCCACTTATCATTTAACCCATGCTATCCACTTGTCCCTCCATCCACACTATCCACTTTTCCCTCCATCTACACTATCCACATGTCCCTCCATCCACACTATCCAACTGCCCCTCCACAAACACTCTCCACCTGTCTTTTAACCCACACTATCCACCTGTCCCTCCACCCACACTATCCACCTGTCCCTCCACCCACACTATCCACCTGTCCCTCCATCCACACTATCCACCTGTCCCTCCATTTACACTAGCCACCTGTCCGTCCATCCACACTAGCTTTAAGGTGTAATAAGGTAGGGGTTAATCCGCACGCTATCCGTTTTGTTGAGGTTGGTTTATCGTTACTTTGTGTTGTTGAGTTTTTATCACTACGGCTACGAACAATAAACGGTCCGCGGCGTGAAGAGAGTCGGGTGTTATCAACTGGAGTGCGGCGCGCTAGTGGGAGTACTGCAGTGGGGGAGGGTCAGATGGTGTCCAACTCCCCGACGTTACTACTCACTCCTCTCATCCGCTTCACTGACTCTCGCTTCTTCTTGTCAGCCAGAAGGTTTCTTTAGTAGAGAACGAAGCTTAGAATCTCTGTCAGTACAGCGTTTTTGTTTCTACTGGTGACGACGTTCACCTGTTTGTCAGTAAAGCCAGGGCAAATTAGCTTACTGTCACGGTTATCCAGATATTGTCGTGTTTACATTTTTACCTCGGCTGAAAACGTTACTTATACAGACGTTTTCCTCATTGTAGTTCTATTGAAACTCTTAACATGGACACTATGAAGACGCAGGAGCAGTTGTAACAACGTTTAGGTGAGACACAGCCTCCTGACGCTGTGTCTACAAGTGGTATCTGTTGTTGACTTCTCCTGCGGCAGGATGGAGCAGGTGTCGTGTGTCCTCGGGCTGATGTTACTGACTATTGGTAAGTAAAAACGACCACATAAAGATTAGACACACCAGCTTATATCACCTGAAGATTAACCACCTTAACGCTAACCTAACCCCTCCCCCCAGGTAGCATTGGGGGTGGCTAATCTTCAGGTGGTTCAGAGTGCATTACGGAACGACAAATCTTTTAATGTGATATATTTGTGTTCTCCAAGGATTTACCAAACTTGTAGTCAGTCAGTTGTTTAATTCTTGAAGACTCGAACTTTACAGTATTTTTTCCTTGTGTTGTCTAACAGAGACGACTCAAATTGCAATGAAATCCCTTATAACTAGATGTGTTCTCCTGTTTTGACTCGGGAAGAAAATCCCACGTGTCCAAACTTGACTTGTGTGTTACAGAGATTAACAGTGTTTATATGATATTGATAGTGGGTCTTATAGACATGGCGGCCCGTTCGGGACAGTGTAGATACTACCACCCTATATACTAAGCCTTCGATACACAAGGAGGCAGCATGTCCGGCACTCCTCTAGACCGCCTCACTTCTCCAACATATAAAGTTAGGTACCCGTTTATAGTTGGGTGGACAGGTAGTGCCCGGGATTGAGCCAGTAACCTTTAGGACAGGAGGAAAATGTATCCACTCGGCCGCCGCACTTGTTTATGTTATCATGAACAAAAAGTTTCTTAACACACCAGAGTCTCTGAACCGCTTGTCTGTAGTCACATTAACACCTGGCAACATGTTGGTGGACGTCTTCACTTCTCCTTCCTTCCTACTCCAGTAGTCATTTTTGCACACCAACTAACTCTTGGCTCTGAAGGTGAGAAGGATGACTACACACCAAGTTGCTCTGTTGGACCAAAGATTTTAGGATCTTCTCCACTAGGCGCTACAACTTAATCATCAAGGGTTTTTTTCTTTACCTGAAACTTTCATTAAGTAACTTTCTTATCTATGTTTTTATTAATAGCCATCTGTGTTGAGTGGTGATGGCCCGGGCGCATTTCATATGAGTGATTTCTTATTTTTTCTTTTTTCCACTTGGACGAGAAAAATCACTTCATCTGGGCGGCAATTTTTGCTTCATTTAGGTGAACACTTACTGTAGTGTACCTGTGGTGTGTGCAATATATTGTACTGAACTACAGGTAAGTCATACAGGTATAAGATACTGCTCATCAGCATTCACTGGCACACCTGTAGCAGGATGACAGATGTCTCAATAAATTATTTTCTCCTGATTTAAAGTTAACAGTGATTTATGAATAATCTTCAAAGTCACTGATATAGACTAAGCCGTATTGATGGTATGGGCGTGTTTAATGCTGGTTGATAGTTGTGTCAAAATGATGAGGTGTAATATCCACGGGTGAAGTCTATTGTCTAAGTATTAATATTTCTTGTAACACCTACTGTATTTACAGTACCTGCTCTTATTGTACCATCAAAAGCGTTTTATCGGAAATTATCATGTAAATAAATAAGAAATTACCATTGCAATAAACATACTTGCCAACTCGACATAATCATGACAGCTCTGTCCTCATGTTCAACCTTAATACTGTACAACCCATGTTGTACTGCTCCCCCATTATATTTATGTTTTTAAATTCCACTGTAATTTATTATGTACTTATAATAAAAAAATAATAATAAATAAATAAAGTAAACAATATTGAAATGATAACCGTGGTAACATTATGAGATGTTCTTATTATCACCATGCTATTACAATTCCAGATGTTACTAAATGTTACATAATACTTCCTTGAGATAAATGTATAGTATATATCAGGTGCCTAAAAGAGAGCTCAGGTTCTCAACTGGCTCAGCCATGTTAATATTGTTATTATTATCCACTCTGTACCTGTGTTTTTCTGGCTAAATAAACTGTTTCAATTCAATTCAATTCAGAAAACCACACATTAACACACTGTACGTAATTCGAGCTCAAGAGTAAGGTGATTCAATAAACACAAGATGTTGATAACTGATAAGTACAGTTTTAGACATTCAGGTACCTGATTTTATTAAACCTAACACAGAAAACGGGAATCTCGACAACAACACTGTGGTGGGAGTTAAGTCCTGGTATTTGTGCACAAAGGGAGTCAAGACTTAGTGGCTGAGGTAGAGAGGTATAAGGACTCCTGGACTGCCTTGATTTCACTTGTAATATAAGGTTTGGAGATAGATACAGTTTTTATTAACTTAGTCTTGCTGGGGAAGCATTTATCAAAGCATCAAAGTCTGCATTGTTTCACCTCCTTGACTTTCTGTAATGTTTACATCCACAGCGGCCACGGCAGGTGAAGCTCCGCCTACCCCCGTACATCGCCACACGCTGCGCCAACCCACCCCAACACCAAGTAAGTAGAGAGAGAGAGAGAGAGCTGTCTCGTGCAGAAGTAGTGAGTGTGTGTGGGGGGGGGGGTATTTTATGAGTGTGTGTGTGTGTGTGTAATCAACACGGTCGGAAACGTGTGTTAAACACTTAGAAAAACACCCGAATAGCAGCCATAGACTGTCACAGGCACACTTAAGAGACTGTACACACACTAATTGTCAACAAAACCCGCCAGCCGAGGATACTAGTTACTAAAATAATAGAAACTGCACACTGTAATTATTTCAATTATTTTGTGACCTGATTCATATTTTTCAAACTTCAATTTTTAAATAGTATGTGAACTTAATTGATTTGCTTTTTGTCTCTTGAAGTTGTGTGTTTAAATTTTTAGCGCTTTGTTTGGACAAATATGAAACTACTGTATGTGCAATACATTCTTTCTTATGTTTTGTCAATATTTTTGTCAATAAATTAACTAACTGCTGACGGAGTGTGTCATATGTACAGGTAGTGTGTCGTGTGTACTGAAGTGGTGAGTGTCGTGTGTACAGGTAGTGTGTATCATGTCACTCATGTGTACCGACAGTGGGTGTCGTGTGTACAGGTAGTGTGTGTGTAGTGTGTTGACGGAGTAGTGTGTTGACGGAGTGGGTATTGTATACAGGTAGTGTGTGTAGTGTGTTGACGGAGTGGGTGTTGTATACAGGTAGTGTGTTGACGGAGTGGGTGTTGTATACAGGTAGTGTGTGTAGTGTGTTGACGGAGTGGGTGTTGTGTAGAGGTAGTGTGTTGACGGAGTGGGTGTTGTATACAGGTAGTGTGTTGACGGAGTGGGTGTTGTATACAGGTAGTGTGTGTAGTGTGTTGACGGAGTGGGTGTTGTATACAGGTAGTGTGTGTAGTGTGTTGACGGAGTGGGGTGTTGTGTGTAGAGGTAGTGTGTAGTGTGTTGACGGGAGTGGTGTTGTGTAGAGGTAGTGTGTAGTGTGTGTTGACGGAGTGGGTGTTGTGTAGAGGTAGTGTGTGTGGTAAGTTGGACGGAGTGGGTGTTGTATACAGGTAGTGTGTGTGTACTGTGTTGACGGAGTGGGTGTTGTATATACAGGTAGTGTGTGTAGTGTGTTGACTGGAGTGGTGTTGTATACAGGTAGTGTGTGTAGTGGGGTGTTGATTTGAGTGGGTGTTGTGTAGGAGGTAGTGTGTGTAGTGTGTTGGACGGGAGTGGGGTGTTGTGTAGAGGCAGTGTGTGTAGTGTGATGACGGAGTGGGTGTTGTGTAGAGGTAGTGTGTGTAGTGTGTTGGACGGGAGTGTGTTGTGTAGGAGGTAGTGTGTAGTGTGTTGATGGAGTGGGTGTTGTATACAGGTAGTGTGGTGGTGTGTTGACGGAGTGGGTGTTGTATACAGGTAGTGTGTGTACTGTGTTGACGGAGGGGTGGGGCAGTATGCTGGTAGTGTGTGTACTGTGGTTGACGGAGTGGGTGTTGTATACAGGTAGTGTGTGTAGTGTGTTGACGGGAGTGGGTGTTGTATACAGGTAGTGTGTGTGTAGTGTGTTGACGGAGTGGGTGTTGCATACAGGTAGTGTGTAGTGTAAGGACGGAGTGGGTGTTGTGTAGAGGTAGTGTGTGTAGTGTGTTGACGGAGTGGGTGTTGTATTCAGGTAGTGTGTGTAGTGTGTTGACGGGAGTGGGTGTTGTATACAGGTAGTGTGTGTAGTGTGTTGACGGAGTGGGTGTTGGTATACAGGTAGTGTGTACTGTGTTGACGGAGTGGGTGTTGTAGTAGTGTGTGTACTGTGTTGACGGAGTGGGTATACAGGTAGTGTGTAGCGTAAGCGATTGAGTGGGTGTTGTATACAGGGTAGTGTGTGTAGTGTGTTGACGAGTGGGTGTTGTATACAGGTAGTGTGTGTAGTGTGTTGACGGAGTGGGTATGTGTAGAGTAGTGTGTGTAGTGTTGACGGAGTGGGTGTTGTATACAGGTAGTGTGTGTAGTGTGTTGACGTGAGGGTGTTGTATTACAGGTGTGTGTAGTGTGTTGGACGGAGTGGGTGTTGTATACAGGTAGTGTGTGTACTGTGTTGACGAGTGGGTGTTGTATACAGGTAGTGTGTGTAGTGTGTTGACGGAGTGGGTGTTGTATGGCAGTAGTGTGTGTAGTGTGTCAGACGAGTGGGTGTTGTGTAGAGGTAGTGTGTGTAGTGTGTTGACGGGAGTGGGTGTTGTGGAGGTAGTGTGTGTAGTGTGTTGACGGAGTGGGTGTTGCAGAGGTAGTGTGTGTAGTGTGTTGACGGAGTGGGTGTTGTATAGGTAGTGTGTGTAGTGTGTTGACGGAGTGGGTGTGTTGTATACAGGTAGTGTGTGTAGTGTGTTGACGGGAGTGGGTGTTGTAGAGGTAGTGTGTGTGTAGTGTGTTGACGGAGTGGGTGTTGTATACAGTAGTGTAGTGTGTTGATTTGAGTAGTTAGTAGAGGTAGTGTGCGTAGTGTGTTGACGGAGTGGGTGTTGTATACAGGTAGTGTGTGTAGTGTTGACGGAGTGGGTGTTGTATATGGGTAGTGTAAGTTGACGGAGGGTGTTGTGTGTAGAGGTAGGTGTGTAGTGTGTTGACGGAGGGTGTTGTATACAGGTAGTGTGTGTAGTGTGTTGACGGAGTGGGTGTTGTATACAGGTAGTGTGTGTAGTGTGTTGACGGAGTGGGTGTTGTATACAGGCAGTGTGTGTAGTGTGTTGACGGAGTGGTGTTGTGTAGAGGTAGTGTGTGTAGTGTGTTGACGGAGGGGTGTTGTATACAGGTAGTGTGTTGACGGAGTGGGTGTTGTATACAGGTAGTGTGCTGACGGAGTGGGTGTTG